CTTCTGTCCATTTTTATTGGATTATTTGTTTTTTGATGTTGAGTTGTATAAGTTCTTTATATATCTTGGATACTAACCCTTTCTTGCATATCATTTGCAAGTATCTTCTCCTATTCAGTAGGTTGTCTTTATGTTTGTTGATTGTTTCCTTTGCTGTGCAGATTTTTTTTTTTTTTTATGTTGATGTAGTCCCAATAGTTTATTTTTCTTTTGTGTTCCTTGCCTCAGGAGACATATCTAGAAAAATGTTGCTATGGCTTATGTCAGAGAAATTACTACCTGTGCTCTCTAGGATTTTTATGGTTTCAGGACTCAAATTTAGGTCCTTATTCCATTTTGACTTTATTTTTGTGTATGGGGTAAGAAAGTGGTTCAATTTCATTCTTTTACATGTAGCTGTCTAGTTTTCACAACACCATTTGTTAAAGAGACTGTCTTTTTCCCATTGCAAATTCTTGCTTCTTTGTTGAAGATTAATTAACCATATAATCATGTGTTTCTTTATGGGGCCTCTATTGTATTTTATTGATCTATGTGGTCTATTTTTGTACCAGGACCATACTGTTTTGATTACTACAGCTTTGTAGTATATCTTGAAATCTGGGATTGGGATATCTCCAGCTTTCTTCTTTTGCAAGGTTACTTTGGCTATTCAACATCTTTTGTGGTTCCATACAAATTTTAGGATTATTTGTCCTAGTTCTATGAAAAACATTGTTGGTATTTTGATAGGGATTGCATTAAATCTGTAGATTGCTTTGAATAGTAGGAACATTTTAATAGTATTTTTCTTTCAATCCGTGAGTATGGGATATCTTTCAATTTGTTTGTGTCATCTTCAATTTCTTTCATCAGTGTTTCATAGTTTTCAGAGTACAGGTCTTTCACCACCTTGGTGATGTTTATTCCTAGGTATTTTATTATTTTAGGTGCAATTGTAAAAGGTATTGTTTTCTTAATTTCTGTTTTGTTACTTCATTATTAGTGTATAGAAATGTAATGGATTTCTGTACATTGATTTTTTATCCTGCAACCTTACTGAATCTATTTATCAGTTCTACTAGATTTTTGGTGAAGCTTTTAGGGTTTTCTATATATAGTATCATGTCATTTGCAAATAGTGAAAATTTTGCTTCTTCCTTTTCAATTTGGATACATTTTATTTCTTTATGTTGTCTAATTGCTGTGACTGGGACTTCCACAGTGCTGAATAAAAGTGATGAGAGTGGACATCCTTGTCCTGTTCCTAACCTTAGGAGTAAAGCTCTCAGTTTTTCACCATTGAGTATGTTAGCTGTGGGTTTTTCATACATGGCCTTTATTATATTGAGTTATGTTCCCTCTAAACCTACTTTGTTGAAGGTTTTTATCATGAATGGATGCTGTACTTTGTCAAACGCTTTTTCTACATCTATTGAAATGATCATATGATTTTTATTCTTTTTCTTGTTGATGTAATGTATCACATTGATTGATTTGCAAATGTTGAACCACACTTGCATTCCAGGAATAAATCCCACTTGGTCATGGTGAATGATTTTTTTAAAGTACTGTTGCATTTGGTTAGCTAATATATATTTTTAAATTTTATTTTATTTTATTATGTTATGTTAGTTACCATAGAATACATCATTAGTATTTGATATAGTGTTCCATGATTCATTGTTTTTGTATAATACCCAAGGCTCCATGCAATACATGCCCTCCTTAATAGCCAGCACTGAGCTCACCCATCCCCCCAGCCCCACCCACCTAAAACCCTCAGTTTGTTTCTCAGAGTCCATAGTCTCTCATAGTTCACCCTCTGATATCCCCCCCTTTATTTTTCCCTTCCTTCTCCTAATGTCCTTCATGGTATTCCTTATGTTCCACAAATAAGTGAAACCATATGATAATTGACTTTCTCTGCTTCGCTTATTTCACTTATCATAATCCCTTCCAGTCGCAACCATGTTGATGCAAAAGTTGGGTATTCATCCTTTCTGATGGGCTGAGTAATATTCCATTGTATATATGGACCACATCTTCTTTATCCATTCGTCTGTTGAAGGGAATCTCAGCTCTTTCCATTTGGCTATTGTGGACATTGCTGCTATGAACATTGGGGTGCCTATGGCCCTTCTTTTCACTACATCTGTGTCTTTAGGGTAAATTCCCAGTAGTGCAATTCCTGGGTCATAGGGTAGCTCTATTTTTAAATTTTTGAGGAGCCTCCACACTGTTTTCCAAAGTGGCTGTACCAACTTGCATTCCCACCAACAGTGTAAGAGGGTTCCCCTTTCTCCACAACCTCTCCAACATTTGTTGTTTCTTTCCCTGTCCATTTTTGCCATTCTAACTGGTATAAGGTGGTATCTCAGTGTGGTTTTGATTTGGATTTCCCTGATGGCTAATGATGATGAACATTTTGTCATGTGTCTGTTAGCCATTTGTATGTCTTCTTTGGAGAAGTGTCTGTCCATGTCTTCTGCCCATTTTTTGACTTGATTATTGGTTTTTTGGTGTTGAGTTTGAGACGTTCTTTATAGATCTTGGAAATCAGCACTTTGTCTTTAGTGTCACTTGCAAATATCTTCTCCCATTCTGTGGGTTGCCTCTTCATTTTGTTGACTGGTTCCTTTGCTGTGCAGAAACTTTTTATCTTGATGAAGTCCCAAAAGCTCATTTTCAATTTTGTTTCCCTTGCCTTTGGGGATGTATTTGGAAGAAGTTGCTGTGGCCCATGTTAAAGGGGTTACTGCCTATGTTCTCCTCTAGGATTTGGATGGATTCCTGTCTCACATGGAGGTCTTTCATCCATTTTGAGTTTAACTTTGTGTATGGTGTTAGAGAATGGTCGAGTTTCATTCTTCTGTATATAGCTGCCCAATTTTCCCCAGCACCATTTATTGAAGAAACTGTCTTTTTTCCATTGCATATTTTCTCCTGCTTTGTCGAAGATTATTTGACCATAGAGTTGAGGGTCCATATCTGGGTTCTCTATTCTCTTCCATTGGTCTATATGTCTGTTTTTGTGCCAATATCATGCTGTCTGGGTGATCACGGCTTTGTAATATAGCTTGAAATCAGGCAACGTGATGCCCCCAGCTTTGTTTTTCATTTTCAACATTTCCTTGGCAATTTGGGGTCTTTTCTGATTCCATACACATTTTAGGATTGTTTGTTCCATTTGTTCAAATAGCATTTGAAAAATGCTATTGGAATTTTGATCGGGATGGCACAGAAGGTATAGATTGTCTGGACAGCCTAGACATTTTAACAATATTTATTCTTCTAATCCGTGAGCATGGAATGTTTTTCCATCATTTTGTGTCTTCAATTTCTTTCATGAGTGTTCTGAGGTTCCTAGAGTATAGATCCCTTACCTCTTTGGTTTGGTTTATTCCCAGGTATCTTACGGTTTTTGGTGCTATTGTAAATGGAATTGGTTCTCTAATTTCTCCTTCTACAGTTGCATTGTTAGTGTATAAGAAAGCAACTGATTTCTGTGCATTGATTTTGTATCCTGCCACATTACTGAATTGCTGGAGGAGTTCTAGTAATTTGGGGGTGGAGTCTTTTGGATTTTCCACATAAAGTATCATGTCATCTGCTAAGAGAAAGAGTTTGACTTCTTCTTTGCCAATTTGAATACCTTTTATTTCTTTTTGTTGTCTGATTGCTGTTGCTAGGACTTCTAGTACTATGTTGAACAATAGTAGCAAGAGTGGGCATCCTTGATGTGTTCCTGATCTTAAGGGAAAGGCTCTCAGCTTTTCCCCATTGAGGATGATATTCACTGTGGGTTTTTCATAGATGGATTTTATGAACTTGAGGAATGTTCCCAATATCCCTATTCTCTGAAGAGTTTTAATCAGGAAAGGATGATGTATTTTGTCAAATGCTTTTTCTGCATCAATTGAGAGGACCATATGGTTCTTCTCTCTCCTGTTATTAATGTGTTGTATCACATTGATTTGCGAATGCTGAACCACACTTGTATCCTGGGGATAAATCTCACTTGGTCATGATGGATGATCCTTTTAATGTATTGTTGGATCATATTAGCTAGGATTTTGTTGAGGATTTTGGAATCCATATTCATCAGGGATATCAGTCTAAAATTCTCCTTTTTGATGGGGTCTTTGCCTGGTTTGCGATTAAGGTAATGCTGGCCTCATAGAATGAATCTGAAAGCTTTCTTTCTGCTTCTGTTTTTTGAAACAGCTTCAGGAGGATAGGTATTATTTCTTCTTTGAATGTTTGGTAGAATTCCTTAGGGAATCCATCAGTCCCCAGACTCTTGTTTTTTGGGGGGTTTGAATCACTGCTTCAATCTCATTACTGGTTATTGGCCTATTCAGGTTGTCTATTTCTTCCTGTTTCAGTCTTGGTAGTTTATAGGTTTCCAGGAAGGCATCCATTTCATCCAGGTGGCTTAATCTATTGGCATATAGTTTTTGATAATAATTCCTAATAATTGTTTCTATTTTCTTGGTGTTAGTCATGATCTCTCCCCTTTCATTCATGATTTTATTAATTTGGGTCCTTTCTCTCTTCTTTTGGATAAGTCTGGCCAGTGGTTTATTGATCTTATTATTTCTTTCAAAGAACCAGCTTCTAGTTTCATTGATCTGATCTACTGTGTTTCTGGTTTCTAATTCATTGATCTCTGCTCTAATCTTAATTCTTTCTTTTCTAATGAGTGGCTTATGCATTGTTGTTGCTTTTCTTTCCAGTTCATTAAGATGTAAAGTCAGTTGGTGAATTTGGGATTTTTCTGTTTTTTTGAGTGAGGCTTGAATGGCTATATATTTCCCCCTTAGGACAACCTTTGCAGTATCCCATAGGTTTTGGACCAATGTGTTTTCATTCTCATTGGTTTCCATGAATTGTTTAAGTTCTTCTTTGATTTCCTGGTTGACCCAAACATTCTTGAGCAGAGTGATCTTTAGCTTCCAAGTGTTTGAATTTCTTCCAAATTTTTTCTTATGATTGAGCTCATCAATGGCCTCAGTGCTTCTGGGTTCAGTTGTGACGAGGAAGCAGCTAGCGGTTTAGAGTCCTTGGAACACCATGTCCTTAGATTTTGGCAGTGTGGCACTGCAGACACAAAATGAAGATGAAGAGTATGACAAAGAAGACTATGAAAGGGAGAAAGAGTTGCAGCTGTTACTCACCGACCTGCCGCACGATATGCTGGATGATGACCTGTCCTCTCCCGAGCTCCACTATTCCGACTGCAGCGAGGATGGCACAGAGGGAGAACTACATCACTCTGAGCAATTGGAGATGAATTGGCGTGAGCATCAAGTGCTCCCTAAATCTCAAAGTGTAAATGACTATAATGAGATTCGGGATGTATATATTGGAGAGAAAAGTGGCAACGGCTGGGAAGACAGTCAAAGTAAAAATGACGACAAGCGTCCTGGCTGCCATACCAAAGAAGGTGAAGATGAAGGTGGAAGTGGTTATACTCCTCCAAGTAATTATGAACAGACAGATTTATATCACCTTCCTGAAAACTTTAGGTCATATATCAATGGTCAGAAGCAGGAATTTAATAGTCAACCAACCAATGTAATTAAATTTTCAGATCCTCAAAGGAATCATTTCCAGCAATATGTTACATCACAAGGTCCTAGTTGTCAAGCTTTGGAACCATATAAAATGACATATAAACCTATCAGGCTTCTGCCCAGAATAATGACTCACCAGCCCAGGAGATAGCAGGAAGTGACACATTTGAAAGCCTGCAACAACAATTTTTAGGAGCTAATGAAAATTCTGCAGAAAATATGCAGATTATCCAACTTCAGTTTCTTAAGAAAGCAAGAGAGACAACTAGACAATTTAGTTGACAAGTTAAATGAAAGTGAGCATCAAATTAGATATCTGAATCACCAGATTCTAATAATCAAAGATGAAAAGGATGGCTTGACCCTCAGCCTCCGAGTATCACAGAAACTCTTTCAGAATGGAAAAGAGAGAGAGATACAGCTTGAAGCACAAATAAAAGTGCTGGAGACCCAAATACAAGCACTAAAAGTGAACGAAGAACAGATGATTAAGAAGTCCAGGACAACTGAAATGGCTCTGGAGAGCCTGAAGCAGCAGCTGCTGGACCTCCGTCATTCAGAATCACTTCAGCGTGCTAGAGAGCAGCATGAGAGCATTGTGATGGGCCTCATGAAGAAGTATGAAGAGCAAGTGTTGTCCTTACAAAGGAAATTGGATGCTACAGTTACTGCGCTTAAGGAACAGGAAGATATTTGTTGTCATTTGAAAGATCAAGTGAAAGAACCGGAAAGGAATCAAGAAGCAACCAAATTAGAAAAGACTGAGATCATTAACAGATTGACGAGAAGTCTAGAGGAGAGTCAGAAGCAGTGTGCCAACTTCTTGCACTCAGGCTCTGTACAGGAGGTGGCTCAGCTATGGTTCCAGCTGCAGCAAGCACAAAAAGCACATGCTATGAGTGAAAACATGAACAAGGCTTTGCAAGAAGAATTAACAGAACTAAAAGATGAAATTTCTCTCTATGAATCTGCTGCAAAATTAGGAATACTTCCAAGTGACTCAGAAGGAGAATTAAATATAGAACTCACTGAATCATATGTGGATTTGGGTATTAAAAAAGTCAACTGGAAAAAATCCAAAGTGAAGAGCATCGTACAGCAAGAAGAGCCAAAGGACGAACTTTCCAAAGATGAGGTCATTCTGAAGCTGAAAGCAGAAGTGCAGCGTTTGCTGGGGAGCAACGCGGTAAAGCGTCATCTGGTGTCTCAGTTACAAAATGATCTCAGAGACTGTCATAAGAAAATGGAAGCTCTCCAACAAGCAGAGAAAGATGAAAAAAGCATCACAGTGGAGGTTTGTAGAATTTGTAGAGTCAAAAACCCATTTTTAAAAGGTTTAATAAAGAAAATGCTTACAATCTTCACATTTAAATAAAAAAAAATTTGGAATTTCTTCCAAATTTTTTCTTATGATTGAGTTCCAGCTTTAAAGCCTTATGGTCTGAAATATGCAGGGAATAATCTCAATCTTTTGGTTGGGTTGAGACCTGATTTGTGACCCACTATGTGGTCTATTCTGGAGAAAGTTCCATGTGTGCTTGAGAAGAATGAATATTCTGTTGTGTTAGGGTGGAATATTCTATATGAGGTCCATCTGGTCCAGTGTGTCATTCAAAGCTCTTGTTTCTTTGTTGATTTTTGCTTAGATGATTGTCTATTGCTGAGAGTGAAGTATTGAGGTCTCCTACAATTAACATATTATTATCAGTAGGACTCTTTATTTTGGTTAAAGTTGGCTTATGTAGTTGGCTGCTCCTATGTTGGGGGTGTAGATATTTACAATTGTTAGATCTTCTTGTTGGATAAACCCTTTAAGAATGATACAGTGTCCTGTCTCTAACTACAGTCTTTAGCTTAAAATCTAATTTGTCTGATATAAGAATTGCTACCCCAGCTTTCTTTTGAGGTCTGTTGGCATGGAAGATGGATCTCCATCCATTCACTTTCAGTCTGGATGTATCTTCAGGCTCAAAATGTGTCTCTTGTAGACAGCATATGGATGGGTCCTGTCTTTTTATCCAATCTGCAATCCTGTGCCATTTTATGGGAGAATTTAGGTCATTCACATTGAGCATGATTATTGAAAGATTTGAATTTATTGTCATCATGTTGCCCGTGAAGTCCTTGTTTCTATAGATTGTCTCTGTAAATTTCTGTTCTATATCACTCTTGGGGTCTTTCTCCTTTTATAGAACCCCTCTTAATATTACTTGCAGGGTCTGCTTAGTGATCACATATTCTTTCAGTTTCTGGCAGTCTTGGAAGCTGCATCTCTCCATCCATTCTAAATGACAGCCGTGCCGGATAAAATATTCTTGGCTGCATGTTCTTCTCATTTAGGACCCTGAATATGTCTTGCCAGGCCTTTCTGGCTTGCCAGGTCTCTGTGGATAGGTCTGACATTATTCTGATATTCCTCCCTCTGTACGTAAGGAATCTCTTCCCCCTAACTGCCCTTAAGATGGTTTCCCTGGTTCTAAGATTTGTGAATTTTACTATCACATGCTGGGGTGTTGGCCTGTTTTCCTTGATCTTGGGAGGGGTCCTCTCTGCCTCTAGGACACAAATGTTTATTTCACTCCCCAGATTAGAGAAGTTCTCAGCTACAATTTGCTCAAATATATCTTCTAGTCCTCTCTCTCTCCACTCCCTCCGGGATCCCAATAATTCTGACATTCGAACATTTCATGGCATCACTTATTTCTTTAATTCTGTTTTCATGGATTTTAAGCTGTTTCTCCCAGGCCTCATCTTTTTCCTTCTTTTCTATCAATTTGCCTTCTAGATCACTAATTTGTTCTTCCACCTCACTTACCCTAGCTGTTAGAGTATCTAGATTAGATTGGATCTCATTGATAACATTTTTATGATTTGCCAGTTCAGCTTTCATTTCTGCCCTTAGAGACTCTATGTTGCCATTAATGATTTCTCCATTCTAGCTATTGTCTTCATAACTGTTACCCTGAAGTCCATTTCTGACATATTGCTTATATACGTATCCATTTGTAAATCTGTGGCAGAAGTCACAGTCTCTGAGTCTTTCCTATTTTGAAGGTTCCTCCTCCTAGTCATTCTGTTGATGGGTGTTTGAGGCAATGTACAGAGTCCAAATTATTGACCACAACCCAAGCAAGATGTACCTGTTTTATAGGGACCTTAGGGTTGTTGACCTCTTGTTCTCCCAGCCTATCTTCTTGGGGAGGGGCCTGCCATGCTGTTACTCAAGCAACCGTGTTTGGGCAGAGTTGCCCTGCCCCCCTGTGGGGGGGGGGATGGGCTCCGTGAAAACCGTTTTTGGGGGGCTTTTGTTCTCTGGTGGCTCCCTGGCAGCTTTCTGTGTCTCTTCTGAGGGTCAGAGTAGAAGAGAACATTTCCACCCCTCTGCCTCAGATCAGAGAGATCACAGCCTGTTCTTCAGTGAACTCTCCAGGCCACACTATCTCCATTTCTGTCTGTGCTGCTATAAACTGCAGTGTCCTGGGTTGTGCACCTCTCAGCAGCACTCCCAGTCCTCGCCTCCAGTTCAGGGCCATCTCTGCCTTTTGTGCTTCTAAAACTGCCAGCCACCTCCAGTTTGCATGTGTGGCCCAACTGCTGCAGGTTTCAGTCTGGGGGACTGCCCTAAAGTCCTTTACCTGCTGCTACTGGTCTGCAAGTCTGTGCCCAGTCCCCAGTGCGGGAGGCTCTCACTCACTGGCAGTGTAGGATCCCCATGGCCAGGCTCCCTCCCGCTGCCATTTATCCTCCAATATCTGCTCATGGAATCACAAATCCCCGCTTCATACCTTGAAACCAACCACCTGTGATATTCTCTTTGTAGAGATCCAGATCTATCTTCTTACATCTCAGGCTGATTTCATGCGCGTTCAGAGTGGTCTGGTAGATATCCAGCTCAATTCAGGGGACCAGTTGGAATATGGTCCCCTACTCCTCTGCCATCTTTTCCTCCCCTGGTTAGCTAATATTTTTTGAGGATTTTCATATCTATGTTCATCAGAGATATTGGCCTATAGTTCTCTTTTTCTTTTCTTTTCTTTTCCTTTTTTTTTTTTTTTTTTTTTTTTGGTAGTCTCTTTTTCTGGTTTTGGTATCAAGGTAATACTGGCCTCATAGAAAATATCTGGAAGTTTCCTCTCTTATTTTTTTGGAATAGCTTGAGAAGAACATCTCTAAATGTTTGATAAAGTTCATTTGTGAAGCTCTCTGGAACTGAACTTTTGTTTGTTGGGAGTTTTTTGATTACTGATTCAATTTCATTTCTGGTAATCAGTCTGTTCAAATTTTCTATTTTTTCCTGATTCAGTTCTGGGAGGTTATACGTTTCTAGGAATTTATTCGTTTCTTGTAGATTGTCCAATTTGTTGGCATATAATTTTTCATAATATTCTTAAACTTTTGTATTTCTGTGGTGTTAGTTGTCATTTCTCCTTTTTCATTTCTGCTTTTGTGTATTTGAGTCCTCTCTCTACTTTTCTCTCTCTCTCTCTCTTTTGAGTCTGGCTTTGTCAATTTTGCTCATCTTTTCAAAGAACCAGCTCTTGGTTTCCTTGCTCTGTTCTATTGTTTTTGTTTGTTTGTTTGTTTGTTTTTTAGTTTCTATCCCATTAATTTCTGCCCTAATCTTTATTATTTTCTTCCTTCTACTGGTTTTGGGTTCTGCTTGTTCTTCTGTTGCTAGCTTGTTTGGATGTAAATTTAGGTCGTGTACTTGAAATTTTTCTTGCTTCTTGAGGTAGGCCTGTATTGCTCTAACCTTCCCCCAAAACAGCTATTACCACATCCCAAAGATTTTTGACCATTGTGTTTTCATTTTCATTTGTTTACATGTACTCTTGGATCTCTTCTTTGACTTCTTGGTTGAACCATTCATTTTTGGTAGCGTGTTACTTAACCTCCATGTATTTGTGGTCTTTCCATATTTTTTCCTATGGTTGACATCTAGTTTCATAGTGCATGGTATGACCTTGATCTGTTTGAATTTGTTGAGACTTGTTTTGTTGCCCAGTATGTGATCTATTCTGAAGAATGTTCCCTATGCACTTGAAAAGACTGTGTATTCTGCTGTTTTAGGATGGAATGTTTAGAATATATATGTTAGATCCATCTGGTCCAATTTGTCATTCAAAGCTACTGCTTCAAGGATCCATCCATTGATGTAAGGGGTTAAAGTCCCCTACTATTATTTTATAACTATGGATTACTTCTTCTAAGTTTGTTATTAGCTGCTTTCTGTACTTGGGTGCTCCCATGTTGAGTGCATAAACATTTACAATTGTTATATCTTCTTGCTGGATTGTTCCCTGTATGATTATATAGTGTCCCTCTTCACCTTTTATTATAGTCTTTGTTTTATTATTTTATTTTTTTAGAGAGGGGGAGGGGCAGCGGGAGAGAGACCCTTAAGCAAGTTCCATGCCCAGTGTGGAGCCTGATGGAGGGTTCAATCTCATAAGCCTGAGATCATGATCTCAGCCAAAATCAAGAGTCCGACACTCAACCGACTGAGCTATACAGATGCCCCTATGGTCTTTGTATTAAAGTCTGTCGTCCAATGTAAGTATCACCACTCCAGCTTTGTTTTCACTTCTATTTGCCTGATAAATATTTCCCTATCTCTTCACTTTTAATCTACAGGTGTCTTTAGGTCTGATATGAGTCTCTTGTAGGCAGTATATAATTGGGTCTTGCTTATTTATCCATTCTGTCACCCTATGCCTTTTGATTAGAGCATTTAGTCAACTTATGTTCATTTTTGATAGGTATATATTTATTGCCATTTTGTTACTTGTTTGTGGTTGTTTTTGTAGTTCTCTGTTCCTTTCTTCTCTTGCTCTCTTCTCTCATGGTTTGTTGTTTTCTTTAGTGATATACTTGGATTCCTCTCCCTTTGTTTTGCATATCTATTACTGATTTTTGACTTGTGGTTACCATTAAGTTTGTATATAGCATCTGCATATTGCAGTCTATATTAAGTTGATGGTCACTTAAGTTTGAACCCATTCTTTACTCCTCTCCTGCCCCCATGCTTTAAGTATATGGTGTCATACTTTACATCCTTTGTTTTATAAGTTCCTTGACTGATTTTTACAGATATACTTACTTTTTACTGCTTTTGTGCTTCCTACTTTTTTTACTCTTGTGTATGGTCTTTCCTTTCCACTTGAGAAGTTCCCTTTAACGTTTCTTGTAGGGGTGGTATAGTGGTCATAAATTCCTTTACTTTTTTTGTTAGAAACTCTTTATTCTTCCTTCTATTCTGAATGATAGACTTGTTGGAAAAATATTCTTGGTTACAGGTTTTTTTCTGTCATCATTTTGAATACATCATGCCACTCTTCTCCAGCCTGCAAAGTTTCTGTGGAAAAATCAGCTGAT